TTGAACCCTCTTCAAACATTAGTACAATGAAAAGTAACAGAACAAATTCAATTGTCGCAAGTATTCGTATATTCCGAATAATCACAGTTCGGGTGAGTCTTGATCTCGAAACATAATTTCCGTATGGTTGAACAGTCAAAAGTATTAAAATTGTCATTGTTGAAGTTCTAGTTAATAAAACGGATAAATTAAAAACAAAAAACGTAACGGACAAATACGTATAAATAAATTAATCTAAAATACCGAAAGTCAAACAAAATCCATAAAAATTATTTCATAAAAAACTCACCAGAAATCATGTGTAAGAAGTTTGAATTAATATGTCCAAAAAGAACTAAAAAACTTTTGAAATATGTACAGAGAGAAGGAACGTAGATATGTAAAACAGACATAATGTATCGATTATCATGTACGTTCAGTAGTGAGGATCAACACAGACTGAGAGAGGAGACGGGCTGTTCGTAACCGAAAGTCAAACTCTATTTATGATTGGAATATACGCTTTGTGGAGGCCATCGGTATCCGTCTGCAAATTGATACCATTCTTTTGTTTCCTGATGTTAATCATCTCTGAAACTAAACGTCTCCGATAGCTGGGCTCTTCATCTAAGATTTCGACCTCATCCCATTTAAATTCGTGGTCGAGTTGTCTCCTATGCTCCGTTATTACCGATCGTGCCGACGTGTTGTGTTTAATGTGATTGCGATGTTCTGCAATCCTTGTCTTTAATTTTCTGCCTGTCTGTCCCACGTACATAGCGTCACAATCATTGCAAAAAATTTTGTACACTATGTTGTTCTTCGATGTGTGTGGATGAACATCTTTGTGTACCTTAATGTATTTTTTGAGTTTGTTCGGACTACGGAAAGAAACCCTGATGTCGTTATTGTTGAACCGATTGAACTTTTCTGTGTAGCGCGGGATAAACGGAACCGTAAGCCAGGACACTGATTCCTTCGCTTCGTCCTTGTCATTCATACTGTTCTGTGTTATGTGTCTATTTCTATTCAAGTTTTTAATTCGTAGGTTGATTGTGTCAAATATAAATGATAATGGGTAGTCATTGTCTAATAAAATGTTAATGATAAGTGTCAAATTTTGTGTGTAAAAACGAAAGTCCGAAAGTAAAATTGTTCTGTCAACCAGCGAAAAAATCGTTCCTCTTTTTTGTGCAATGGGGTGGTTAGAATAAAAATTCAAAAACCTCCCTGAAAAGGTCGGCTTACGATACCAATTAACTCCAAACCCGTTTCCAATGATCGATATAGTCACATCCAGGAAATTAATTTCATCACCCCCAAATTCGGAAGTGAATTGTAATCGTGGATGGAACGAGTTAAATTGTTCTACTATTGAGTCAATTCTTGATGGTTCAACCGCCGTACAAATATCATCCACGTATCTAAAATAAAATATTACGTCCAAGTTCAACGACATCAAGGACACCGTCTCAAGTCTCCTCATCACCAAGTCCGCTATTACAGGTGATAAGGGGGACCCCATAGGAGTGCCGTAACTCTGTTTATAAAAATTGTTGTTAAACGAAAAAAATGTGGAATCAAGAATGAACCTTGAAATTGTGTTAAATTGTGTGTGTAAAATTTATTGTAAATGTTGTAAGAAAATTCACACGAAATTTTGCGA